GGATATCCTTATTGGAGGCATCATTCAGTCATTTATTTACATGGCTCTGTGTGTTCCACTCATGTGCTAGGGGATGCTACTTAGCTTGGGAGAAATAAAGTCTATATCAAATCCTGGCTCTGCACCTCTGCTGCTGAGTGACTTTAGGGAGAGGTTTTATTTCTTTGGATTCATTTCTTCTTTTTGAAAACAAAAATATAGCTCATTATGCTTATTTGCAGTTGTGAAGTGTAGTAAAAATTGCGAAGCCCTTCAGTAGTATCTATATTATATGTAGTAGACATTCTACAAGCAGTAAGGGTTTCTTTCTTTTTTTGCATTTGTTTTTGTTTTTTGAGACAGAGTCTCACTATGGAACTCAAACTGACCTGAAACTTGCTGTGTAGCCCAGGCTGATACTGAAATCAAGATCCTCCTACCTCAGCATCCCAAAGTGCTAGGATTATAAGTGTGTACCACTGTGCCATTAGCATATTTTGGGTTTTTTTAATGGAACACAAAATTTACCATTTTACCAACTTTTAAAATGTGTGAAATTCAGTATTTCTTGGTATATTGTGTCACCATTAGCACATTTTCATAATCTCAAAGAAATCATTGTCACTTCCCCTTGGCCACCTCCTTCAGTTATTATGACTACCAGTTTCCTTACTGAATCTGGATGACTCATCATCATCATAATAACAGAATCATAAAACATGTGACCTGTGTCTCACTTCCTTTAGTCTAATACCTTTGAGATTTGTCTATATTGTACACTGACGAGTACATCATCTTCTTTTATGACTGAATAGTACTCTGTTTTATAGATATACCACACTTTGTTTATCCATTCACAAGTGGATCAACATTTATGTTTTTCCTACTTTTTGGCTATTGTGAATATTGCTTCTGTGAACATTCATGTACAAGTTTATGAGTTGACATGTTTTGGTTCTTTTGAATATATGCCAAGAATGCAATTGCTGGGTTGTGTGGTGATTCTGTGCTTAGCTCTTTGAGCAACTGCCAAACTGTTTTCTGCAGTGGCTGTCTCCTTTGACATTCCTACCAGGAGTATCTGAGGGTTCCAGCTTCTCTGTGTCATCCTTATCTTTTATCTGTAGACATTCTCAATATAAAATGGAGTTTCCTGGTTTTGATTCACAATTACTACTGATGCTGAGCATTTGTTCATGTGCTTATTGGCGTAATCTGTTTCTATTTTTTAAATTAAGCATTTTTATTTGATGAGTTGCTATTGTATGGCTAAGTCTGCATATGACCCACCTGGGGTTACTCCCACTTGGGTGGAAAGGCAGTCTCTAAGCAGGTGCTTACAGCATAGTAAGAGAATAGAGTATAAAGAAAGTGTGGAATGAGGCATCTGAGGAGGAAGGAACAGATAAGTGCAGGCTGAGCTAAGTTTGAGAAGCAGACAAGGAAGGATGAAACATGGGAGAACATGCCTGAGTATGGCTGGGGTGGGGTTCTTGTCACATGAAGAGCCGAACACTCTAGATTTTCAGCCATCACAAGCCAATCAAGAAGCAAGCCAGCCTCAGGCCTCAACAAGCAGAGCTAATGTTACCCACTGTGCTTGTCAGCATAGGGCTCTGTTGTTTTCAAGGCATGCTTATCAAGCCGATTTGATCCATACCTGAGGTAAATGTATATTATATCCTCATTTCTACAAAACAAAATGACAAATAGTGAGATAGCAGGTTGCCCTGATTTTTTTTTTTTTTTTTTTGCCTACAGACCTTGAAGTCGAAGACAGGTCATGTGATGCTTAATTCTTTCCACAACTGCAGAGTAAACCTTAGTTCTTCTTAACTTGGCGTTTAAGGCCATTTATTCTCCAGCTTCAGCCACTTAGTTTCCTTTCTCATCTCTCCTTTCTGTAACTGAATCACCTTTGCCAGATCAGTTCATAAAACATTTTTTCCAACTTTCTGTTATGGCTTCTATTTTTCCCTCCTCTTGTGTGGTCCTCGTTCTCCCATCCAAGTACTAACCAGGCCCAACCCTGCTTAGCTTCCAAGCTCAGACAGATCAGGCATATTCAGGGTATTAGGACCATAAATGAGGACCATGTTCTTACTGTCCTTAAATAGTTATACTTTTATGTGCACTAACTGTTCAATACCATTTATTCTGCACAAGTTCCTAACATAGAGAATTGATGATCTTTACCAAATTGTGGCTATTCAAGTAGGAATTATTTATTTGAAATCACAGATGAAGAAATAGACTCAGAAAAGAAAAGTAACTTACCCAAGCCTTCCAGTTGACCCACCAAAATGATCTGTCTTGCTCCTGAAATCTCGTAACACTCACTGACTCCTGTATTCAAAGTGGGCTGGAAATCTTCAGTTATCTTCTCTTGGTCTTTTATCTTGTATCCCTATCTGGTTGCTCATGCATCTGTGTCTCCAGGGCTCAGAGTGAAATTGCCAGAAAATGTTAGCTGACATATGGGAGGAAAAGCTCTGAGCCCAAGTTGCATGATGGGGCAGGAGGGTCTCTTGCATGGCCGTGTTATAAAACTAACCTCTGTGACCTTGCATCATGGTGAACTCTCCAAGACCTGGTCTCTTTTGTTCCCTCCTTATCTTATCCTTGGGCCCACATGCAGCAGGGTTGGGTGCAATTCCTGAAGGAAACCTCATTCTCCTCATCTGGAATTTTGAAAGGGTTGAATGAGATGATCTGAGGATCATTCCTCATATAGTATCTAGTTTTGTGAGTCTGTATCACTGCTTCTTTCTGTACCAACTTCACACCAACCTCAGTTTGAACTGCAGTTTTCAGCTCAGGAAGACAAAGCACAGCTTGTCATTTCCCATTTGGTGACATCTCAAACTTTTGTCTTTGAACTTGTCACACTGAAGACTGAATCAGGAGTGCTATCCCCCACATACTGCCAGAAGCCCTGCAGCACCCTTCCATCTGACCTTGGGCTCTCTCTTTTTGTGTTTTACTCATTCTCTCTTCTCTCTTCTCTCTCTTCCCTCTCTTCTCCTCTCTCTCTCTCTCTCTCTCTCTCTCCCCCTCCCTTTCTCCTCCTTCTCTTCTTTCCTCCCTCTTTTCTTTCCTCTGCTAACCCTTGTGTGTGTATGTGCACAAACACCTTATGCCAACATAATTTCATTTAAAGCACTCTCTTGAAGTTTTACATTCCAGCAGCTTTTTGCCTTAAAAAGAATCAGCATTGATTTGTAAGAGAGAAGATATTGTTCTTTTAGAAATACCCAATCAAGTCCCCTCTGCTATCCATGCCTAACCTACTGGATGAGTTTTATAGCTACAAAGAGGATAAGAACGGGTCATTCTTGTAAAGCAGAAACCATGGATGAGTCCTCCGCCCCAGTGGGAAGGCCTTTTCACCAGGAGGGGATTGTTACCTATGACTACTTCTCTTTCCTGGGCTTTGCCTTTATATTCTGTATTCTGTCATTTATTTTTAAATATAAATTTAACTACCTTGTGCTTATGGGAATAAAGTGATTCGGGCACAACAGTAAAAGAACAGATATTGTCCCATTCACTGAGTGCTTAGTGTACCAGGCATGGCTTGGAGAGTAGTATAAACACTTGCTCCACCCTCAACTCATATTGTAGACCTCCCAAGTTCAGCTAGATTGAGGCTTTGCTCACTCCTCCCCCTGTCAGGGAAGAGCTGAGATACTCAGATCTTTCTGGTACTGGAGCCTCACCCCACCAGCTGAGGCTGGATTTAAGAAGACAGCATTTGAGTACATTCTGGAATAGTTAATGGTTTGTAAGCCTTTTTCTCAGTTTTACCAAGTTCTGAGGAGAGATGCCTGGCCTGAGAGAGGCATAAAAGCATATTCAACACACATATGCATATAACATGTGTATACATACATACATACACGTGCACACACACACACACATACTATATGGACATAAGGATCTGTGGAGACTCTGTTTACCAGCTCCCTAGCCACATGCCACATCATGCAATGGGCAGCATAGTAGACAGTGCATTTTTGATTCAGAGTGGGAACCTTTGAGGGAAATAAGACACAGTAATGCCCCAAGTTCAATTCCATCCAAATCCAAAACACAGACTGTTTTGCCACCTAGGGCCATTTGCAAAGTAGGTTCAAATTTCTACCTTTGGAACCCTCCTGTTTGAATTTTTACTTTCGGCATTTGCAGTGAGAGACACAGATCTGCAAAGTCCAGTTTGAATTCTGCAGAAAAACAAGTCTCTTAGATCCTGTGAGGTTTAGCTTAAACAGTGAGAAAGCGAGAAGTACTTTGTATTTGTGTAGCGCTCTTTAGTATATAGTATGAGCACACGGAAACATGAGGCAAGACTCTAGGGCCATTACCCACTCCTTGCTCTTCATCGGGCTCACTTGGGCAAGCCTCTGCCACCCCTTGGGTTTGAGTTTACTAATTTGTGAAATAAGAGTTAGACAAGTTTATCATCAGGGTCCATTGGACCCTGCCATCTGGATTGGGTGCTATCAGAAAGGTGACATGGTGCCTTTCTCAGGCTATATGGCGCTGGGAGCTCCATGCCCTTTTTAGGTTACTTCCAGAAGAACTGTCATCCCTCTTACCACCTTCTGATTCCGAAGCCAGAGAAACCTACCAGGTTTTCTTGAGAAGATACCTGGCTTAAAAATATCTTGAGTATCAGAGGGAGTTCATGTGTCATTTAAGTTCAGACCAGATGGTAGTCCACGGACTATTCCAGCTCCATGATTCTAGAATTCCATAAAAGGCTAAACTTTGAGATGGACATGGAGAAACCCCTATGTAGATTCTAACACTGTGTATAGAGGTGCAGTTAACACATGCCCTTAATCCTAGCAGTGGACCTGCATGCTGTTTTGGGGAGTTCTCTGTGCAGGACAGAATAGGCTTTGGGTTTATTTTCCTTTTTTACTGGTCTGGCCTCACTTACTTTCTAGACTATGAGGTTTGGGGCTTTTTGAGCATTTCGACTCATAATCAACCTTGTTCTCTTGATATGATTTTAGAAGACAAATCTGACCTTGAAAACAGTGTGATGCAGAAGAAAATTAAAATCCCCAAACTTTCTCTCAGTCACATAGAAGATGATGGGGAGGTTAAAGATTATGGGGAAGAAGATTTACAGCTTAGACACATCAAGGTAACAAAATCTTTGCTTTTCTTGGAAAGTATACGGGAGCAATTTCATACTTCTCATAGTTAAAGAATTCCAGTCTGGCCTCCTTCCCATAGAAATGTCCCCTAGTGTCATAGGCCATTTTCTTTTCAGGATGGAGGAAGTTTGAGACAGCAAGTGTACATTCGCCTATGGCTCACTTTTCAGAGAAACCTCATTTATGTTGTGCCACAGACACAGTCCTGTTTGTGCATTGTTATGGCTGCTGGAGACTTAGAATGATGTGCTTCTCCCTGGCCCACAGCTCTGAAAAGGTCACTGCTGAATGATAGGGACATTAAGCAGCTCTTGGTCTTGGGTATGAGTTCAGACCTGGTCACTATCAGATTGTCCCAGACTACTAAGAGTGGACTCATTGGGAAAAGGTGTCAGTGAGGTTCACAGAGGGCATGTGTGGAATCTTGGGTTGGATGAAAAACTTCATGCAATTGCATTTCCTTGTTGAGTGCTCCCATTGGTCTTCTTGGCCTTCACTTGGGAAACCTGCTGGAAATCTTGCTTAGGAATCTAGCTTCCCCATCCCTCCTCATGTGGTGAAAATCCCAGAGCAAAGGAAACGGAAGTGGAGACAAAGGTGCAACTTTAGCTCTGACCTTGATCTGTTTGGGAAACAAGGTCAAGGACATTCCTAAGGTGTAGTTCAAAAGATGGGGTTGATTCATTTTATGGCATTCTGGTGCTATGGCCCTGGCCTAGTCCCTGGGATCATGGAGATTAGCCTGCTGTGGTCCCTGTGCCCAGGACTCTCACAGTAGTGATGCAGACAGATATCTAAGGTGATCATTACAGCTTTAGTGGATAAAATCATCTACACTTTATCTCAGCAGACAAAATGATATAGGATTTTCTCCTGTTACTCAATCCTTTTGTTTGTTTTGTGTTGAGATAGCATCTCCCTGTAGTCCCAGCTGGCCTGGAACTGGCTATATAGATCAGGCTGGCCCCCATCTCACAGAGATCTGCCTGTCTTTGCATTCTGAGTGCTGGGATTAAAGGTGTGGGCTACCACATTAGTCCATCTTAAGACTCATTTTCCTTTCCTTTAATTTCCTGAAACATATTGGAAGGTTAAGGTGGGCAGGGCCTTACATAGTTAAGTTGTGTAGAACCTGTGTTCTCCATTGTCTGCACCTCTTACAGAGCCCTCAGGAGAGCTCACAACCCTTCAGCCTCAGGCAAAGAACTAACTGGTTCTGCTCCTCTGCCACCTTCAGTAAGAGCTTTTCCACTTGAGCTGATCTCCTCAGCCAGCAGAATTCCCAGTCCCTGGGTGGTCCTTTCCTCCATGGACCTTGTCTTGCTAAGGGAGAGGCTGGCAGGTATGAGGGAAGGAACTCTGCTAGATGTTGGGCTCTCGATTCTGCCTCTGGCTCTGTGGCATTTGTATCTTACTGTGTAACCCTAAGTATGGTTCTTCCCCTCTCTGGGCCTCTGTTTATTCTACCTATAAAATGAAGAAAACTGAAAGCTCAAAGGACCCCTCCAATGCTAGCATTCTTTGAAGTTTTCAGCTGAGTAAACATTGATCAAGCTCCTGCCAAATGCCAATCCTAAGTGAGTAGGCAGTAGAGAACGGGAGAGAACAAGGCATATGTACTGACCTATATTAGAGGGAGTTTGGGTTTTAATATCCTTAAACTGAAGTAGTCTTAGAAAGGTTGCAAGAGAGTATTTGGGTGTGACTCCTCTGGGATGGCAGATTACATCTTGATTCTCTGAAAATCTGTGCTGGACAACCCCATGAGCAAGTGACTGCCCAGGCATCACAGGGTCTTGGGGGTGGATGGGGAATTTGGAGGGTTATCTTGATACTTGCATCTAGGAGGCAGAGTAGTGGAATGGAAAAAGTGCTAGCCTGTGACCCAGGTCTGTTTGTGTGACTTTGGCAAGAACACTGTAGGTCTCAGTTTCCCCATTTGCAAAATGAAGGGCTTTGAATAAGTGTCTGTACAGATTTCTCTAAGCACTGATGTTCTGTGGTTCTATGATTCTAGGATTGTCTGGGGAAATATTGAGCCGCAGTCCAAGAAAGTCCCAGCTGCTCTTGCCTGAACTGATTCTCGTTGTCCTACACAGAGACCTGAGGGGCGGAAGCCGAGTGAAGCAGCGCACAAGAGTATCGAGGCAGTGGTGGCCCGGCTAGAGAAACAGAACGGCCTGAGCCTGGGCCACAGCAATTGTCCGGAAGAGGTCTTTGTGGAGGCCTCTCCAGGCACAGAGGACATGGACAGTTTGGAGGATGCAGTCGTGCCCCGGGCTCTGTACGAGGAGCTGCTGCGCAACTACCAGCAGCAGCAGGAGGAGATGCGCCACCTCCAGCAGGAGCTGGAGCGGACTCGGAGGCAGCTCGTACAGCAGGCCAAAAAGCTCAAGGAGTATGGGGCACTGGTGTCCGAAATGAAGGAACTTCGTGACCTCAACCGGAGGCTCCAAGATGTGCTGCTCCTGCGGCTTGGCAGTGGTGAGTGCCCCTGCAGGCTACTTACCACTCCACACAGTGGGAGGGAGCACCTTTCTGTAGCTCCCCTTCCAGCAGGATAAAGGGGAGAAGCAGGCCAAGTGCCCTTGGGCTAAGGAAGGAGAGATTTGACTCAGCAGTTGCCCCAAGGAGGAGTCACTCTCCTCTCTGAGTGAATCTGATAGGAGCCCACTGTTGCAGCACTGACCACACTGTGCTGAGAACACTGGGGACTGTGACTCAGAGAACTAGAGGGACAGAATGTTTGCCACTGCTCAGTCAGCAAGGAGCAATACTAGGGATTATAGGGGCCTTTCCAGGGAGATCAGGCAGTGAAGAGAACTGGACATGATCTTTAAAACACTATAACTACAACCCAGAAAGTGACACAGGCCACAGGAGGGATGCTGCTAATGTGATCTGAAAGCTGAGAGCATGAACAGGGAGTGGATGAGGAGACTTCAAGAAGTGCCTGGGTCTTGAAGGGTGGGCAGTATATCAGGCAGCCGAGCAGTCCACCAGCAGCACTCATGAATATGAGAAATACCCGAACATGTTGAGCAGGCTTCTGCAGATGTGCTTGGAGGGCAGATGGCAGAAGACTGAAAACTACGGTCCTGGGAAGTCAGGACTTGTGTTTGTAGGAATGGGAAGCATTAAAAAGCTTTCTAGGATGGGGGGATATAGGTCATTGCTTGGTAGTATGTGCAGAGCCTGGAGTTCAATCCCACCACAAAAGAAAACATGCTTTTGAGCTTGGAGGCGTGTGATATAAGGGGATTACTATAAAGATAAAACTCCTTTGGTTTGCTCATAGAATTCAACTAGCCTTTAAGTTTCTCATCTCAAGTGATTTAGAAGCAAGAATAAGGGGCATTCTGAAAGACAGGAGACTGATAATAGGAAGAACAGGTAGATAATATCCCGCAGAAGTAAAAATCAAGGTGTGAAAGGTAGATCAGTCAGTACAAAGGAGGTATCTGTTTCATATGTTCACAGCCTCCACGGCCCCACATGAAGAGGTAAAGTAGGTTAGATCCATAGGGTCTGACTACCAAGTTAAACCAGATACACACTGAGAAAAGGAGGCTTCCATTGTTTAGATATGCATTGATGTGCAAAGTTCCATGCTCTGATTTGTGTGGTGATTGAGCTTTTGCACTGTCCTACTTCATCTGCAGGTGCCTTTTGCTTCTTAAAGTGTGTCTTCAAGGTAGTGTCTCCATAGGTCAGCTGGGGACGTTTTCCTGCCCTTGACAAATGGGCACACAAGGTAGGGATTACCAGAGACAGACCTCCAACTCAGCTGCAGGTGTTCACACTCGGCCTTCCCATTGGTCGTGGTTCCACGTCCTAGTCGAGAGGTTCACAGTGATACTGAAGGTCACATGTGACTTTCAAATTCACATGTTACAAAGAGAATCCATGCATGTGAGGATTTATGAAAGCTGCATTGATGTTGGAGTACAAGTAGACACTGGGGACAGAACTCAAGCTTTCAGGGAAATAATATGTTTCCCAGTCTTTGGGCAAATGACTTTTACTTCCATTGTGCTATGCCTTTTGTGAAACTTCTTCAGGAGGGAGAAGCACAGGAATGGTAAAATCTCTCCACACCATTATTTCAACTGCCCTCAAAATTACGTGTTTTGCATGGTGGTAAACTCAGTTTAAACTCCCGAAATCACCCCTGACCTTGGGCAGTCATACACTGTGCTTTGCTAGACATTTGCCTGTTTTCATCCTAAGACACTTAGACAGACATGTTTAGACCTGTATTCGGTGTCTTCAGTTTTCCAGGTTTTCCCATCCCATGGGCCTTAAATGGCATCTGTGGGCCCAATGACTTAGAGCTTCTCTGATGTGTCACTGTTGCCTTCACAATGGACAGACCTGAGCCACAAGTCTGAGTGGAGCTCCCTCACGGCCTGAACCTGTGGTCTTAGGGTGGTCGGCATCCTGGTCATTGAACCTACCATCCCTAGTCTCTGAGCACTTACCGTAGTCATTAACGTGCGTTAACTAGCTCTAAGACAAACCACAAGGCCCTTAATCAAACGGTCTGTGCCCATAAAAGAAGTGGTCTATTTTATGGACATACTCAGGCCTGAATTCAAATTCCAACTTCCCTAGTCTTTGAAAATTGTCTTTTTTCTTCCTTCCTTTATTTCTTAATTACTTTCTTATTTCTTTTCCCCTTTCCTGTTTTCTTTCACAAATACTTTTTGTTTTTTGTTTGTTTGTTTTGTTTTTTGTTTGTTTTCCAATTCCCATTTATTTTTGGCTTTTGGGGAAATGCCATCTTTTCAATATGAAAAAAAGCAAGTTCAACACAAAATAGAAATCTGAAGGGTAGAATAGGATAAAACTGGTGGGGGGGGGGCGACAGAGATGTCCCCTCTCCTCTGGGGAGTGACCCAAACGTTTAGGTGGCAGCACACACTTTTCCACAAGTCAGAGATGTTATTCAACTTGTTGGAAATAAGAACAAGTGGAGTGAGGAGGAAGTTTCTGGGCATTTAGAGACCAAGGCCCCGTACCCCCCCCCCCAGTCCCTTGGGGAAAAAGTAGGGCAGACACCTTCAAAGGCAGATGAGGTTGAGGACAGCTGAGGGACTGCCAGGTGGAGATAATACTGCTAATTCTCTTCCTGAGACTGAGATGAAGTAAGGGAAAGGCTGGAAAACCCACTCCTTCCTCCTGGTGACTGTACGGTATCTGCTATCCTCAACACCCTTGCCCTCATTCACTACTTAGGCTTGGGGTGGTGGCGTCGGTCTGGGTTTTTTGGCACAGGGCTGGTTCTAAGCAAGATCTGGAGCAGACTCAAGTTTCCTAGAGAAATTTTTTGAAAGAATATTAAATTGGACAGATATGAGAAGTGGGTACCAGAAAATAAAACCCAGAGTGGCAGAAATCTAGGACTGTCATAGTGGAAAGAGAAAGGAGACATTCGACAAACAAGTATGTGCCAGGCACCGTTCACCCCCCAAAACCAAAACAAAACCAGGACAGAGGCAGCAGGAAGAGATCCTGAAGGAGAAAAGGGGCAGCTGAAGAAAGCTGAGGGAACTGGGAAGCCTGAGGTGACGCAGGGCTCTGCCTTGGGCCTCCTCTTCCGCCTCCTCACCGAAATCCTCTTCCTCTTTTGCCGTGGCATCCTGGTACTTCTGGTACTCAGAGACAAGTTGCTCTGGGCTTCTGTGAACTCCATCTGGTCCATGCCCTCACCTGCTTTCACAAATGCTTATTGGTCTGTTGTATGTCAGGCATTTTGCCTAGTGGCAATAGTTCAGTATATTTGGAATATATATAATATATATCTCATATCCTGTCCTCTGCCCTTGAGGAGCTCAGAAATGTGCAGGATAGCACACCCACCAGATTCTAGAGGATTCATAAATGAAGGAAGAGACTACTAAAGAAGAGTTAGTTTTTGTCGTGCAGGCAGATGTAAGTGGGTGGGAAGGGGGCATCAGATGCCCTGGAGTTGGAGTTACGGGTGGCTGTGAACCACCTGACATGGGTGCTGGGAATCAAATCCGTCTTCCAGAAGAGCAAGAAGTGCTTTTAACTGCTGAGCCATCTCTACAGCCCTAGTTATTCTTTCTTCTTCAATAAATGTTTATTGAGATTGTACTATGTGTCAAGGCAGGGATCAGTGCTAGAAACATTTAAACGAATGAGACAGAAACCTTTTTTACAGAAACATTCACAAGCTAGTGAGTTAGCATTTTTAAACCCTGCTATGACAACCTCAGAGAAGGCCAAGGAGATAAGGGAAACAGAGCAGTTGGGATCCAGTGGGAAAGGGAGCACCTGTGTGAGAATGGAGCCAAACTGGTCTTTGCAGCTTCCCCTCAGCTGGAGTCCCTGTTCTCAAATATTTTTGTTACAGTTTTATTTATTTATATATTTATTTATTTATTTATTTTTGTGTGTGTATGTGTGTGAGTGTACATGTATGTGTGAATGTGTGTGTATGTGTGTGTGTGTGTGTGTGTGTGTGTGTGAGTGTGTGTGTTCCAGGGGTTGAACTCAGTTCACCAGGCTTGGCAGCAAGTACCTTTACCACCTGAGCCATCTTGCCAGCCCATGGTCCTGTTCTCAGTAGGCAGGAAAAAACCAAAGCTTAGGCAGCCTCCTTAGCTTTTTAACACGAAATGTGCCTTTGATAGTGTTATCATTTTGGTGTGAACCAGGTGACAAGAGCTCAGATACATCCCTAAAGGGCCTGAAGCAACACGAAGAGGAACAGAAATATCCTTGCCTTGAGGATGTACACAGGCCTATGGGGGCACAAACTTGACACCAGGCAGAAGAAAATCAGCACTGTAATCACAGGACGGAAGTGGATAATGGTGTTAGGTCTTGTGTGTACTTTGTCAAGGATTGTAGGCACAGATGATTAATTCTGACCAGCCAAGGTGTAGATAATATGAATAATAACAGTAATCTACATGTGCTTGGCGCTTTACAGGTTCCAAAGCACCATGACATTTTTATCTTATTAAACTACTCCAATAGCCTTATTGCAAGACCAGGTAAGGATGATTATCTCCATTTGAAAGGAGAGTGTGTGAAAGGAAGAGATAATGTCCCTGTTGGCTCCATCTTAAGCTGGCTGAAATGTTTGAAGGAGAGAGCCATGGCGACCAGCCTGCATATCTGTCTTGACTCTTCAGAGCTGGATCGCTAGCACCTCTGTAACCCTCTGAGTTTGTGCTCTGTCCAGGGTCTGCTAAAATACCAGCTTTGATCTTTAAAATCCTTTGTGGTCTGAGCTGGCTTCTTTAAGCCCAAGTTTCTGCTGGTGCCTTAGAAAAGGCAGCTAATGTCAGCCAGATGCTTCCTACTGATTTCACCCTGTACTCAGCAGCCTGGCCTTTGGCAACAAATATTACTTGGGTTTGGATCTCACTTGTCTTAATTCCTTACCTGTGTCACTTAGGGCAAATGATTTAACCCTTCTGAGACTGTTTGCTCCTCTGTGAAATGGGAAT